TGGCACGTGCGGGTGACACCGGTGGAAGACAAGACATAGCCCTCATTGCAGCTGCTGTACGAGCACACGTCGCCTGCGAAGGAAGACATGGATGCACATAAAAGCACACAGCATTGGTGCCACAGTTGAGTGAATAAGCTCATGGTGACAAAGTACGAGGAGGAGCAACAGCACACATGTAATTTATCCACCTATGGCATCTCATCCAGTGCATGCAAGCAATTACTTCACACGATCACACACCTGGGTAGCCTTGGCAGTCGCCGGAAAGGCTGCCACGCGTCAAAGACAGGGCAGAACATGGTTTGACTAGAAAGCGAGCAGGAGCGACAAAGTGCGCGCGTATGTGTGAATGAGAATGCGTGTGAAAAGGGGAGTGTGCTCTGCGTGCTTGACGGTGCTGTCACATGGGTGGATCGCAGATGACACAGTAGCATCAGGAGTGTTGTCGAAGTACTCACAAACACATCCGCGACCGCCGTCCGACACGTAGTCCGTGGCACACGAGACCTGGTTGCATTGCACAAAAGCACTTGGTGAATGGCTTGCTAGTGCCGTGGCACACCAGGCATGACACACACACACACACACACACACACACACACACACACACGTTCGGACAGCGCACAATGACTCAAGCTTACTTGGCAGGTTCGAATGTGGAACGTGCGGTCCATTGCTGACGCGAGGTAGTCCGAAAGGATGCCTAGCATCAACATCAACGTCAACATCAACATCATCAACACACACACACACACACCGCAATGAGACATGGACACAATGGAAAGCGAGCACGGAAGTCTGACGACGCGAAAGCCCTTGGCCCCCACGTCGCACAACAAGGTCGTGTATTCGCGCGTAAACATACACACGCGGCCGTCATGGTGCTGGCACTGTTACCTGTGATGACTCTCTTTGTGCCAGCGTTGAAGGTGAGCGCGTTGTCGAAGATATTCTGGAATGGCTGCGTGATGCAGTTTGTAAGGGTAGCGGATGAGATGGCTTGGCACTGATAGCTGAACACGCGGTCGTTTGCGTCAGCAACGAAAGTAGACTTCATCCCGCGCATGTCTGTCCCAAACAACGCAGACGTGGGTGCGGTTGTTTGGTTTGTGTTGTGCGCTCGTGCGTGTTAGAGAAAAGGAAGATGTGCCATAAGTACAACGATAAGGCATGCACTCATGACTCACGCATCGCTTCGACGTCCAATACGTCGTGGACACCCCCTTCGCCCAACAATGCGGCTATGGGAAGGCGCAAACGCACATGTGTTGTCTGGACACGAGAAGGTGTGGCGCAGGCCAAGGCGAGAGTAATCGGCAGAGCTCCATCCGGTCTTGCTGCCCGCAGTCGGACCACCAATTGTGTCACAATAGTACCGCCACCTCCTGTCTGCCTGGTTGTTGCTGTGAACCAGCATGCAAGATGACAATGAGAACGCTTGACAGTGAAACCCCTTTGCCCCCCCCCACACACACCCCACAAACAAGTCATCATATCATGATCAACATCAAACAGGGTCACACTTTCCAGCAAAGTTGAGTTCCAGCCTCGCTCTCGCGCCCATGTGGAAACGTACTCGTGATAGCTGCGAACTTCATACATGCCGGTGTTGTCGGGGCATGTGACGTAAAACGGGCTTTGGAAGTCATTGACGTACGTGCCTTGAGACAGCGTACTCTCGCTGATGGCTGTGATGACGTGATCGCATGTTTGCAAGAGAGCATGTGAATCGATGCAGTGATGAGGTGTGAGAGTTTGTGGATGTGAAGGATGGTGACCGAAAGCAAAGCAACACCCACACACGACACACAGATGCGTGAGGCTGATGCTCTAATTTTCCCATCTCGTGTAAGACGCTTACTGTCGCAAGTGCGGTCGCGGCGGGTGATGTAGTTGCTGTTGAGATCGCACTCCACCTTGCACGTGGACACTTTCCAGCGACGGTCTTCCTTGCGGTTGTCTGTCGTGGTGTGTGCGTGTGTGTATGTGGTTGTGTGCGGGTGTATGTGTGTGTGGTGGTGGTGGTTGGCGACACATCGTCTTCGAAGCGCGAAGAACACAGACACAAAGAAAACGAAGACACGGAGACACACAAAGGAAGGGATTCAGGAGGCGTGTGTACGCACATGTACTCGCTGTGAGTGTACGCACATGTACTCACTGTGATAGGAGTGCAGGCCGGTGATGATGCGATCGTTGCTTGCGATGTAGTTGAGGGGTTGATCCTTTCAACAGAATCAATGCGTGAGATGCATGTGGGTGTGGGTGTGTGACATGAACGCGTGAGAAATAAACAGCAAGCACGTGCGTGTACGCCTGCACGCGATCAAGTCACTGCCCTCATGACTTCACCAACAACACACAAGCCAACTCACAAAGCCGTTGAGGTAACCCGTGGTGGAGCAACCCCTGAGGTATGCGTTTGCGATCTTTCTGCACTCAAACCTCCACACCCTGCACCGCATTGTTTCGCGCGGTGGTGTGCACAATTGCGTGTGACATGTTTGTGAGAGTGAGAAAAAGCGAAAGAGAAAGTGTGTGTATGTGTGTATGTGTGTATGTGTATGTGCATGTATGTGTGTGTGTGTGTGTGCAGAGGATGGAGAAACACTTGACTATGTGCCACTGTGGCACAGGTGTGCCTGCAGGCAATGGTGAAGCAAGCGCATCACGCTCACCTGTCTTCCTTGTTGTTTGAATGCGCTGACTCAAGGGTGGTGAGGTAGTAGTCTTCTGGGCAAGTGAAGGACAGGGGCCGATCGAACTGGTTGAAATCGAGGCCGCCAGACCTTGACGTTTGGCCGGTTGTGCCAACGCCAGCGGATGCGCAAGCAAAGTTCCAGCGACGATCCTCTGCGAGGGTAGGTTGGATATCGGTTGTTTTGGTTGACAGATGTTGCACAGCAAGATGGAGAGATGGTGGTTGAGAGTCAGTCATGTGCGAGAATTGCGGGGGGGGGGGCTCAAGCCGCCTGAAGAGGCACCCGATCGTGAAAAGCAAGCCAGAACACTCCTCTCCCTGGAACCAAAGAAAGCCAAGCAAGAACCCCCGACAGGGCACAAGCGTGTACACACACACACGCGCGCGCGCACACACACACACGCACATATTTACTCGCACACACACACACACATTTATTCGCACACACGCACACATACACACACATATGAAGACTGCAGGCAGGCACACATAAGAACCACATGACACTGTGTGGTACGTACCGCGTCGATTCGAGTGGATTGATGTCAATGCAGCCAGGCCTTGCCGATTTGGGCACTTGAACTTGAAGGGGCAGTCTGTGTTACCGCATCCAGCAGAGCAGGGAATGTACATAGTAAGGAGAAGAGGGAACAGCGGGCGAGAGATGTGTGGTGAGGAGGCATCGTAGGGATTTGAGTCGTCTTCTGTCGTAGTCCAACAAGCAGCAAACGTGCAGGCGAAGAGAGAAAGGGCTGAGGGGAGGGGAGGAGCAGCGGAGACAGCCTTTGTGTGTGTGTGTGTGTGTGTGTGTGTGTGTGTGTGTGTGTGTGTGTGTGTGTGTGTGTGTGTGTGTTTGTAGCAGATCCCACCGCCAGACTTATTACCCCAGCAGTTGACGTAGGCCTGTGTTTGAGTTGCGGCTGCCAGCAGGAACACGGCGAAAACAAGCACGGCGTGTGCCATCTTGGCGTGCTTGCAAGCAAGAAGGCTGGCACGCAGCAGAAGAGAGTAGAGTGGAGGAATCAGTGTTCGCAAGAAGGCAGAGGGTCGTGGTCTGTGTGTGTGTGTGTGTGTTGTGTGTGTGTGTTTGGGGGGGGGGGGTGGGTGGTTGGCAACAGCAAACAAGAGACTCTGCTGGTTTCTTGGGTTCAGAACTGAAGGATGGCTGGGCATGAGGGAAAATGAATCAGGGTGTGCGAATGCAACCACTCCAAGAAGCCAAGAAACCAAACAGCAGCACAACGGCACCAGTGTGAGCGAACCCTTGCTTGCTTGATTTCTGGGACGTGCGGCGTCGTGTTGTTGTTGAGTGGGTGGCTTGTTTAACTCGTGAGGTGGCATGAGCCAACACATCCTACGGTTTGCGCGTGGTAGACGCTTTTCGTTTTGGGTGTCGCCACTGTCCAGTTTGCCCCAGTCCTCTGTCCTCCCGTCGTCCTCTTTTTCTCATTGCGACGGCCAACTGGCCACGCCAGCAAAAATTAGTGTCCTCGCGCCTCCTCACTGAAAGTGAAGAGCGTTGTCTTGGCGTGCGTTCTTGGCGTGCGTGGGTGTTTTGTGACGACGACGCGGCTTGCCTGCATGCAAAACACAAGCTCCGTTCAGCGAGAATACAAATTATTTGTCCCAGAATGATGACGACAATCAAGACGGGGTTGTTGTTGCTGTTGTTGTGTGCAGGGTGCCCGCAAAAGTGTGCTTGTGTGAAAGGAGGAACGCCACAGGCACAACCACCAAGCAAGCAAGGAAGACATGCAGTCCTCATCGCTTGAGGTAGGCTCGAGCGCAACCCACACACAACCTGCAGGCCAAGCGGTTGCCCCGCGTGGGCTGCTCTGTCTTGTGGTTTGTGGTCGGTCAAAGGTTCATTTTCCCTGCTGCAACGTTGTTCTTCCTCAAGCCACCGCGACGTCACACCACAAGAGCCAGAAGAGACACACTCCACAGATCACACCCGAAAGACCAAGCCACAAGCCAGGCCACAGAACCACAGCCCTCACACACAGGTCACACCGACAGGCGCAGCCCCTTCCCCATCCACGCCAAGGCCAAGTGCTTGCAAGCAAGCAGGCCACAGTGTGCGAGGAGAAGAAGCAGAAGACCCACCCCACCTCCGTCGTCTCATCTTCCTTTGGCAGTAACAGCGATCGATCCGTGGATCCCGCAATCGGAGACGCAGAAGAGAAAGAGCAGCGATGGCGGATGCCACAGCAGTGGCACTGATGCTGTTCGTGCTTGTCACCACCTTGCACCAGTTTGCCCACGCCTACGAGAACAACTGTGCGTGTGTGCGTGTGTGTGCGTGCGTGCATGCGTGTTGTTGTGTTGTTGTGTTGTTGTGTTGTTGTGTTGTTGTGTTGTTGTGTTGTTGTGTTGTTGTGTTGTTGCGCGTACCTCTCTATCGACGAGTTCCACAATGATGTCAGCTTGCTTCTCATGACCACCGCCATCACCATGAATGCCATCCTCACCATGGCCGTTGTTGTGAATGGTTTTCCGCTCATGGACTCTAGGGGACGACGCACTGAGCTTCAGGTGCTTGTCAGGGAAAGGCATCACCTCAATCGACTCCTACCACAGGTCAGGGGCACCTGCTTGAGCCTGATTTGCCCGATCTGATGGCACTTCGTGTTCATGCTGGACAGTGTGCGACCAACACATAGCATACACACTCTCACACATGCGTACGCCATGCGTGCATGACAGCAACAATCGGGAGGATCGTCGTTGGGCGTTTGAATGCTCCCGGTATGGCAGCGGGTACGGTAGCTCCTACGTCACCGACTACGTGAACAACTTTGGTGAGTCCCCAAACTAGCATGACGCTGGATGACAAACAATTGGGTCTGCCTCAACCCTTCAACCCTTCAAGCCTTCACGTCACTGACGCTGCTGCTCCACGAATCACTGCGCCTGATCTCATCTTCACCGTGTTCCCTGCTGCCTCTCCACACCACAGACCATTCGTTTGATTACCTCTGCAACACCAACTACTACATCGAGGGCGTTTATTCCTACCACAGCAACGTACATGCCATTCTTGTTGTTGTGCGTGCGTGCGTGTGCCTTCCTTCTGTGCCTTGCTCGCGAAATCAAAAGAGTGCCCTGCTCACCAACTCACTGATACGCCCTCCCCTATCCTCTCGCTACCTTTACGCATTTTTCCGTGCCTTCGCGATCCACATACACAGAACAGAGTACGTAGCTCATTGTCCACACTCTCTGACTTGCAGCTCTGTGTCGAGGGTGCTTGACGCAAGGCACCTGATGTTTGCGCTGCACGTCGTGTCCTCGTCCTGGTGCTTGCAGCGCATAGATGGGAACGAACAATGATCTTGCACGTAGCCACTCGCACCTTTTCACCATTCCCACTTGACCGCTCACATCATACACAATCACACACACACACAATCACACAAACACGCTACACAGGAGGATCGGTATGAAATGATGTACCACTTGAATGCCGAAGCTTGCTGCTGCTGCTGTTGCTGTTGTTACTGTGCTTGCTGTGTGCGCCTTGCACCATGTGCCAACTGTTTTCGTTCTCGTTGACCCTTCTTGCCGCGACATGCATCCATTCTCATCCACTGTCCCCACCGTGCATGGATTGTTCACTGCAGGCGCTGGAAGTTCAGGTGTCGACGCATCACCGGTGCCACCCTCGGTGTGTGCATGGACCTTGTGTGTTGATTTCTTGCACATTGCACGTGGCACTGTTGCTCCTGGCACATTGCCTCGTCTAGTCACTCTTTACACGTAGTACACTATTCCCTCATCAGTCAACCTTGCTATCCTCTATCCAACCCAGCTGCTCTCTGCTTATTGACGTTGCCTTTGTTACATTCATCGTGTCATACATCTGAAATCGCCAACAGACTACTGCTCAAAGGGCAACTACGAGAACACGTTTGATGACCGTCTCGAATACACTGTCCGTGATGGCTACGCTATCGCTGGTGCGTACATGTGTGCACCTGTGTGTGTGTGTGTGTGTGCACCTGTGTGTGTGTGTGTGTGTGTGTGTGTGTGTGTGAGCACCTGCATGTGGGTCGAAGTTAGATCATTGATTGCACCACTTGAAGTTAAATTTTGACCATAATGCTCAAGGCACCCCAAATACTCATGTGCGATGCATGTGCGTATGTGCCTGCAGGCTTTGCTTCGTACCATGACAACGACAACGAAGATCGCCGCTGGCAAATTTACACCTGTCAGGTGAGAGCACCGCTGTCTTGACCAAAACATGGTCCCTTCAAGCACAGAAGCATGTATGGCTTCCCTCAATACCAACCCGTCTTTGCCCGCCATGTTGCCAACCTCATCACCGCGCATCATGCTCATTGCTCCATCTGTTCCTGGCACGCGCAGATCAACTGTGACAGCAGCGACGGCTACGTCAGCTCCGGCACCTACGGATGCACCCGTACGTGTGCGTGCGTCCAGTTGCACGTGACTGTTGTGTTGCTGCGCGAAGACTTGTTGTCACTACATTGCACGGTTCGCTTATCACGACGCTTCTCACCTCCTCACCTCACACACACTCATTCTTTGACGCTTTAACTCTCGTCCGTCTCCACCACAGGTGTGAGCTGCGGATCTCTCAGTCTGACACACGGCACAGTCACGGGCGATTGCGGCGGAACATTCGGTCAGTTGAGTGTGCGTAGGCACAAGTCCATCCTGGTGCCCATCGTGTGTTCGCGGTGCTGTTGTCGCTGTCACGTTACCTCGTTACTCCGCGACTCCTTCACCCACGCACACACGAATCCTCACTTACTCACTCACTCCCCGACTCAACCGCACGAACTTGTAGGTGACCAGTGCACGTACGATTCATGTGATGATGGTTATGAGCTTTCTTCGTCCGGAACTGCTGGCGCACGCGAGTGTCGCATCGTCTCAAACGAAGGCAGCTGGAGTGGTTCTCCTCGCACGTGTGACGGTTGGTTACGCGTTTGCTTGTTGCTGTACTTGCCCTGCATTTCAGAAAAGAGCAGTTGGCAGTTTCTCTCCACCACACAAGTGTGCACATACACCCGTGTTTGCCTTCACAGTCTCACCAACACCTCTTTCTCATCCTGTGGACAGACATCAACGAGTGCACGACTGGCACGCACAACTGCGTCTCACCTGCAACTTGCGTCAACACGGAGGGCAGCTTCTACTGCAACTGTCCATACGGCGACCTCGATTCCTCTGGCACCGAGTGTGACGGTGTGTGTGTGTGCGTGTGTGTGTGATCGTGCTTGCTTGAGTGTGTGTGTGTGTGTGTGTGTGTGCGTGTGCGTGTGTGTGTGTGTGTGTGTGCGTTTGGGTGACTGGGTGGGTCCATTTGCGTGTGCTTTTAGTACGTGCATGTGAACAACCACATTCATGTGCTTACTCTGTGCTTCAGCACTGCGTCCCCTCAACCCCAACGCATCTTGCTGTGCTATGTCTCAATGATTCGTGCAGTTGACGGCCCTTCCGCTGTCGTCACCGAAGGCGCCACGTCCATCAGCCTGGCCATTTCCGATGCGACCGCCTACCCCAAATATGAGGTGCGCATTGGGGTGTTTGATGTGTGCGTGAGTTGGGAAACGTAAAATGTTTGTGTATGTGTTGAGTGCGTGCACGTGTGTGTGCACATGCATGGACACGGCTATCGTGACGCACCCGCTCTCCCGCCTTCCCCATCTCTAACACACCAATGCCCCCTCCTCCATTTCACGCACTTAGATCTCAATTGGCCAATGGGCACTCGACTTGTCTGGAACAACGACCCTGCCCAACTACCCCGTCACTGTCGACAGCCCTCTCACATCCCGCACGTTCACCGGCCTCAACCCTGGCCGGCGATTCCAGGTCTGCGTGTGCGCGCGCGCGTGTGTGTGTGCGTGTGCGTTGTGTGTGCTTGCGTGTGTGCGTGCGTGCGTGTGCGTGCGTGCGTGCGTGTGCGCTTTTGTTTGTGTCAGTGCCTGTCTTACCTGCCTGCGATCTTCTCTTGCTGCGTTTGTCTTGCTTCAACGACTGCATGCATGTCTACGTTCCCTTCTCCTCTACCAATTGCAAGACTACTTCCATGCCCCCCTCGACACCTTGTCCTCCTCACTCACTGCCCCAACAACACCTTCTCGTCCTTGTTTGTTCAACGTGAACCAGGTCACCATCACGCCCATCGACAACGACGACAATCTTGTCACAGGCGTGCAGTATGTGGGCGGCGAGTCGTCTGGCGATATTGCCACGCACTGCGGGTGCCTGTCATCCGACCGCACTGGCGCCCCCTCCGACCTCGCGCTGCAGCAGTCGCTTGGTCGCGTCTTCTTCGCATGGACCGACCAAAGCTACTGCGAGTCAGGGTTTAGCTTCTTCCGCGACAGTGTTGGCCTCTCTGCCAACTACGATGTCACCTCTGAGGAGACGTGCGGTGGTGAGCACGCACCAACCACCGTCTACGACGACCTGACCGTGCAGCGCGACGACGTGTATGCTGAGCTTGACGATGGCAGCTTCTACGCCATGCCAGAGGGGACGTTCTTCGTGCGCGTCACGTCCACCTTTGACACTGCCGGCTCCCGCTTCGCCTACCCCTCAGAGCTCGCTTCAGGTCAGGGTTATGAAGTGTGCGTGCTGTTGTGCTTGCACGTATTGAGCATCTGTGCGTTCATGCCAGCCTGATTGGTATATCCAAACACGTATGCGCCCCCTTCTGCGACTCTTACTCACTCACTCACTCACTCACCCCCCCCCCACACACACTCACTCACTCACACACTCACACACTACCTCCTTCCCTCACTCACTCACTGACACACACACACACACACACACACTCACTCACTCTCTCTCTCACTCACACTCGTCCCACACACGCACCTTACCCCCCCCCCCCCCACCCCTGACTTCCAGGTGGCCACTTCACGTCCACAAGCACGTCGTCCACGACATCCACATCGACGTCGACGTCAACCTCCACCTCGTCCTCTGAGGTCACAACGTCCTCAACATCGACGTCGACATCAACCGAGGCAACAACAGCCAGCACCACTGGCGGTGCGGATCTCTTCACCACACCTGGTGTTGCGACCACCACCACCACCACTACGACAACCTCTTCCACATCTTCCTTCCAGTCCACTACAACATCGGATACAGACGAGGTGGTTTACGCAACCGGCACCTCCACCAAGATCACGCGTGCTTCCGAGTGCGCCACCCTGTGCAAGGAGCGATCGGAGTGGTGCCTCGGGATCGTCGTGCAGCGGACGACATCAGGGCTCGTGTGCCACCAGCTCAAGCTTCTCTACTTTGCCAGTGTCAGCCAAGATGATGTCACTGTGGAGTCGTACGAGGCTGTGACCGTTTCCAACACAGGCGTGAGTGGCACATACATCCTTGACGGGTCCAAGGACGACTGCATGCAAGCATGCTCCGACGATTCGGACTGCGCCATGATCTTTGTCGGCACCAGCTACTGTGCCACGGCGAACGCTCGCACGACGACCTCCACAAACCCGACCAGCTACCACGAGAAGGCGCTGCCCACCTACTTCCGGCGCTATGTGGGCACGGCACCAGGCGTGTCGCGTCGCTACTGCGTCGTTGCCACCAACCCCGTCGACTACGACAGCTCCGTGCGTAGCATTGCGTTGCGTGGCAGGTGCTCGTGAAATGTGGGCTGTGAATCAAACTTATTCGCTTGTCCTTCGTGTACATGCCGTGTGCGCGTGCAGTTTACGCGCATGCATGTCACTCATGCTGTTGACCCTCCACCATCATCTGACTCCCTCTCACCGACGACACTTGCACACGCTGCCATATCACCCCATCACACCTCCCCTTGTTATCTCCATCCCACTGCGCACCCCACACAGGGCTATGCATCAGCCTCGACCTGCAAGTACCTGACGATCCAGTGGGAGGTGATTGTGCGCGGGCAGGTGACAATTGACTCTGAGGAAATCCACCTGGCTGTGGAAGGTGTGGAGGTCAGCTTCGAGGTTGGCGGCGTCACGGGCACACGCACAACAGACGAAGACGGCTTCTTTGAGATCCACATCATCACCGACCAGATCACGTCCCTGCACGAGACGATGACGCTCAGCTTCTCCAAGTACACGGGCAGCATCGAGCACACCTTCTCCTGTGGCGGTATGGCGTGCACGGAGACGACGGTTGTCGTCGAACATCTTCGCTTCGACCACGAGGTGGACATCCGCGACACCACAACCATGCCCTTCTCTGGCCGCGTCACGATCGAGGGCACGGAGCACCAGGGGTACAGCAACGGGTGTCCACTCAAGGACGTGGAGGTGTGCCTGTACGACCGCAACCAGGGCGACTATGTTGTTGGCTGCGCCATCACCGATGCCCAGGGCTACTACACGGCAGAGGCCGTGCTGGGCGCCTCTGTCGGCACGTTTGTCACCTTTGGCAACTCCTCCCACACCTTTAAGCGTGTGACGTACACGGAGAACACGCCCAACGCCCCCAGCGGCTACTACATCCGCCAGGATCCTGTCACGTCGCAGGACGTGAGCACCCCATACTACGACATCACCGAAGACAAGCTGTGGGAACGCATCGACTTCAAGGACGTGACGACAGACACGGCGACGGTGGACGTGGCGGGCGGCAAGTGCAACCTCACGCTAGGCCGCGCCACCATCGAGTTCCGCTACGACAACTGCCCGACCTGGGTGAGAACAGAACGCACCTCGGACCGCGTCTCCAAGTGGGACCTGCCTGCCCAGATCATCACCGTGCGGTTTCAGCGGCTCGTGCGGGACGGCAACGTGCGTGAAGAGATGACACGCTACTTCTCCGCCACGCTGGGCGAATCTCGCTCAAAGTACGTCGACCTGCGTGACCCAAAGAACATGAACAACACGCTCAAGTACGCGCGCTTCGAGTACCATCCAGCACCGCAGCTGGACATCTCCTTCAACTCGGAGAAGTCGCACAGCTGCTCGTACAGTGACGGCACGCCGCTGCGCGTGATTCAGCAGAACACTCAGACCTTGGTAACCATCAAGGTGACGGAGGACTACGGCAACAGCGTTGGCACGTGCGATATTGTGCCGGGCACGATTGAGATTGAGAACCACCTTGGTGAGTCCCCAGACACGGTGGCCGTGCTGAACGAGACAATGCCATCACTCACCAATTCGCAGCTGAAGCTGCTGGAGCGGTGCTACTACCCCTGCGAGATGCCTGTGATCATGGACACGACATCCACCGCGTCCGGTGATACGCTCTCCAACTCGCGTGCGCAGTTCAACATCTTGACTGGGTCGCCGCAGACCAACCCAGAAGCACTGGACAGCGATCACCCGCACACGAAGCTCTTCCGCGCCACCATGCAGCGGCTGCCACACGACCCCGTGACAGAGTCACTGTATGTGATTGTGACGGGCGATGTTGCGCAGGGCACGGGCGCGTCCATCCCCTTTCCGCGCTACAAACCGCTGCTGGTGGTGCAGGACCCGCCTGGTGGCCTGTCCTCCGCCACTTACTCGAACACGTACGCCAACTACAAGATTGAGAGCGACACGTACGAGGAGTATGGTGGGTTCTTCTTTGGGCTCGAAATCACGCCCTTCAAGGTGGATGCCACGCTTGACCTGTGCGTGGGTCTTGGCGCTGCCAACTGCATCAACCTGCTGACGGCAAAGTCGGATCCTGCCACCATCTTGGCCGATACAACGAACCTGTTTGGCACGAAGGACGGCAACGACAACTACGACACGGAGAAAGTGTGGTCGTTCAGCCTGGACGTGACGACCAGCGAGGCCGAGGTGCTGGCTGGCGAGCGCTCCGACATGTTCCTCGTGCCGTCGCTCAACGTCATGTTCCTGGACACGGACATTGTGGAGTTTGACACGGACACGTGCGACGTGACGCTGCGAACGGAGACAACGTGGTCGCTTGCGAGCGGCGAGAACGACGAGGCAATGGCGTGGCTGTCCGCGTACGAGATTGAGACGAAGGAACTGCCAGACCTGCGCACACGCCTCGCCAACGCCGATGCCAACGGCGACTCGGAGGACATGAAGGCGGAGCTGCAGAACGCCATTGACGCGTGGGAGGAGAATCTCGCCCGCAACACGGAGGTGCGTGACATGGCTGCAAACGGCGAATTGAATGCCATTCAGCAGCTGTGGTCGCCCGATACCTTCAGCCTCTCTGGCAAGAACAACATCAACGGGCAGATGAACAAGGGCATTGCCCTCGCCCCGCACAAGTTGATTGAGTCTGCGTTGCAGCTGAACGACACGGCTGCCACAGACACACAGCAGACTGGGCTCAAAGCCATCAACACGATCAAGTTTTCTGGTGGCGGCTCTACGTACACCTTTGCCTACGACACGAGCGTGGACAAGTCGGTCACGGATGGCACCATGCGCGAGCACGACTTTCAGGGTGGTACCTCAGTTTCCTTCGACATTGCGTCATCAGGTCAGTGTGTGTGTGTGTGTCTGCATTCTTGCAGTGATCGTGTTGGCAGACTTGGTGCAACCATACCAACAGCACCATTCTCGATCTGACACGATTTCTTCTCTTCGACGCTCCTCAATGTTGCAGGTGTCGGTGCTGAATTTACGGTGACCCCACTCGGCATCGGCCACTGGTTTGCGTCTCACGAAGACCAGGAAGGATACCAAGAGGAGGAGCACGTCGAGTTCACGGTGCGCGAGCAAGTACCTGCGTGTTTGTGAATGTTTGTGAGTGTGTGTCTGTGTGTCCGTATGTGACTGTATGCTTGTGTTTACATTTTCGCCACCGCCCCCTGCCAACCCGCATGTTTGCGATGATCGCTTCACACTAATATCACCACCACCACCACCATGACAGCTTGGCGACCCCGACCCATTTGATGTGTTTGATGTGCAAGTATTCAAGCACCCCGACTACAACACGCTCGTGTTCCACACGGCCTCTGGCCAGTCGTCATGCCCGCACGAGGAAAACACGCTTGCGCTGGAGCAGCCTGGCATGACCGTGCTGAAGCGCCCAGAGGCACCCGTGCTGCCCAACGAGCCCGCCGTGTTTGAGCTTGTGCTGCGCAACGATGGTGACTACACGACGTACATGCAGCTGTACGCGGTCAACGGACAGAACCAGGATGGCCTGGAGATCAGCGTGAATGGGTGGCCGCTGGTGGCGCCCATCGACTACGTTGGCTTTGAGCCTGGTGCCACGCAGATAACAGTGGTGATGAAGCGTGGGCCGTCAGCCTACCAGTACGACCCGGTTGACCTGTGGTTTTCGTCGCTGTGCGAGCAGGAGCGGCTGGCGGAGACAGGGTATCTGAGCGACGAGGCCGCGGCGCAGGTGCGCGTGACGCTGGAGGTGGAGTTCCTGCAGCCGTGCTCACCCGTGCAGCTGGTCGGCGAGGTTGGTGAGGAAGGCATGTTTGTTGTGAACCAGGCCACGGACGAGCAGGAGGAGCGGCCTGGCGAGCTTCGCCTCGTCGCGTTCAACCCAGACTTTGCCATGCGCAAGTGGACAGAGGACGACAGGCTCACTGGCGTGTACGTTGAGTACAAGCCCGTCACGTCCACGGTGTGGCTGCTGGCGCGCGACAAGGACCAGGAGGCCCTGGACATTCGCACGCTTGAGAATGACTACGGCTACGTCACCATGTGGTGGAGCGTGGAGTCGCTGAGCGAGGGCCAGTACCAAGTTCGCATCCGCGCGCAGTGCCAGGCATCCGTCAACGAGGTGCCCGACGGCATTGACGAGCAATACTCCATCACGGCTGTTGGTGTCGTTGACCGCACGTCACCGCAGGTGATGGGATTCCCCGAGCCTGCCGACGGCGTGTACGAGCCAGGCGACGACATTTCGTTTGAGTTTGACGAGCCAGTGCAGTGCTCCAAACCATTCCAGTTTGGTGCGCGCATGGATGTGACGGGGGTGGACCGCGTGTTTGACAACACCAACATGGTGATTGTGTGCGAGGGCCGCCGCATCTCCATGTCGCTTCGCCGCGGGTTCTCCTGGGACGAGGTAAACGCCCGGTCTGCACGTGTGCTGCTCACAACCGTTGAAGACCCGTATGGCAACCGCGTGCAGCAGGACCTGACGCACCTGTTCGAGTTTGCGAATTTGGAGCTGGCCTCTGCCACAACGCAGGTGACGGGCCTGATGCTTGACCTTCCATTCGAGCAGGAGTACTACAACACGACATCTGCTGCCTTTGAGAATGTGACCAACATCATTGAGACGGACATTGCCGATGCGCTCGGCATTAGTATGGCGCGCGTGCAGGTGATTGCCATCTCACCGACGGACCCGCTTGATTACACCGTTGGCATCACCATCGACACATACATCTTGCCAACGACGATTGAGGAGCTGACGCGACGCCGTGGATCAGGCGACGACATGACGTCTTCTGCGCTTGCTGACCTGCTCCAATCCCTCGTTTCGGACAGCAACAGCACCGACATTGCTGAGGGCAGCATCCTCAACCACGTGTCACCGCTCTCCAATGTGGAGGTGACGCTGATGGCGGCTTCAAGGTCCAGCAACGGCACAGCCACGCCAGATGTTGTGACGGATTCCATGCTCTCCACGGGCAACAGCAGCGGCAGCGGAGACAACGATATCCCCAACTGTAAGTGGGCACATGCGAGATGTTGTGGTGTTGTTCGTGTTGTTATTCATGTTGTTGGCGTTACTGTGCGATATGCACTGTTTGCTTGTCATGCTGAGTAAAGTGTGCTGATGGAGTTTGTGTGTGCGTGAATGTGTGTGTGTGCGTGTAAGCGTTGGAATGTGGGGTGATGGTATTTGTATGAACAGCTTGATACTATGGCATCATCAGTTGCATGTGCGACTCACTCACCTGTATGCTCACAAATACCCTTCCCTTTTTGTCGTTGATCTTTGCAGATGCTCTTCTGGTAGTGCTGATTGTGATGCTGATTGTGCAAGTGTACATGTGCATTCGCATGACCAGCAAGCACAGAGCCAAGTACGACATGGGCGCAAGTCCAGCTGCTATTGCTCTTTCGGCAAAGGATGGCGATCGCCGCAGTTCATTTGAGGAGAACCCCACCATGGACTTTACCCACGTGTGACATCTCACGTGACATTGTGCAGGTGCAGGCAGTTGGTTTGCACCTGTTGATCTTTGCTTCTTTGGGCATTCACCCGCGCTTGTGCCCCGTCGTTCCCCTTGTTCTCCGCGCAAGTGCCATTGTGTCAGAGCGCACGTGTCCAAAAGTGCATGTTTCGTCGACGCCATCCACCCATTCATTCATTCATTCACTTCATTGCCCTGCTTCCACCACACGACAAATATGCTTGCTGACTTGATTGCTTGTGTTAGTCCTGGTTGCTTGTGCTCTTGCGTTCATTCACCACCGGCGTTCCCTGCACACTGTGTGATGCTTGCACGTTGTGTGCTCACGAGTGTTTGCATTCTGTCTGTCCGTTTCATTACGGTTCACCCACGTCGTTTTTTTTCCCACGTCAGATGATATGTTGGCGTTCAATGTGTGCGCATTCGCGCTGTTAAACACATGCCCGTTACAAAACAACGTGTGGCACTGAACAGATCACCAGGGGTCAGAGGTAGGGAGGGAGAGAAGAAAAGACTGGGGTCGTTTGTATGAGAGGGTATGGGTATGTGTGAAAATGTGTGTGTGTGTATGTGCGTGTGTATGTGTGTATGTGTGTGTGCGTGTGTGCGTGTGTGTGCATGTGTGTGAGCAAGTCAAAGAGCAAGAGTGGGAAATCGCGCGCATGCCATAACAATGGCGGACGGCCGCTTGCGCGCCATGCATTGATGACAGTGCAGCCTGCGCTCAGTCCTTGTAGCCCAGGTAGATGCCTGTGGAGATGGCGGGGATCCCCAGTCCAAGACCAGAGAAGGAGAGGGTGACGAGGTCTGCGTGGGCGTGGTCCTTGCGGAGAACGGCCAGCACACCGGGCACGCTCTGCAGGAAGTTGAGTCCGCGCACCAGCTGCTGCACAGCGACGTGGCTGGAGCTGTTCACGGTGATGGTCGGTTTGTCGCGCAGCACGTTCATGCCAGGGCGCTCAACAAAGCGAAGCCCAGCCCCAACTTGTGTGCCAAACGTCAGAGAGAGGCATGGCTTGCCCAACTGCAGCGGCATCGCATCTGTGTGTGTGTGTGTGTGTGTGTGTGTGTGAGCGGGTGTGTGTGTGCGTGTGCGAATGTGTGAGCGTGTGTGTGTGTGTGTGTGTGTGTGTGTGTGTGTGTGTGTGTGTGTGTGTGTGTGTGTGTGTGTGAGCGTGTGTGTGTGTGTGTGTGTGGCAGTTCTTTCTACACAGCGAAGCAATGCAGACCAGCAAGTTGCCAGCACTGCCTACCGCTCGATGATTCAACACACCTGAAACGTCCTGCACGGTGAGGAGATTGCGAAGTGCCTCCGAGACGGGGGCGGTGGCGACGCGGGAGATGCGCTGGGCAGAGGACTTGATGGCGTCGGTCGTCGCTTGCAGCACCTGGCAGTGCAAGAATGATGATGATGATTTGTGAATGGAACGGATGGATGAATCAATGAAATGTGGGTTGGGTTGACGGACCGGACCGTTTACCTGCCAACAAAGAGAGATGGGCACCCTTCTACTTCCCACCCACCCGCCAAAACACGCACACACACACACACACACACACACACACACACACACACACAGACACAGACACAGACACAGACACAGACACACAGACACACAGACACACACACACACACACACACACACACACACACACACGCATGCTCTTGCGCGTGGCACGCCCACCTTGCCTGCCGCCTCGCCTGATGCGTAGATGGT